ATAAATTATAAACCTTAATTAAGTGTGTTACCTTTTATTTCCAAAATTTATGAAAAAGATATATATGATCAATATATGGAATTTTCAAATAAGCATTTTTATCCTCTTTCGGCATTTAGGTCGGTTTTGGTTGCCAAACAGCGCTTTTAAAGATAAATAGTAGAAGATTCTGGTGGATCTATCTAAAGCATTTGATTGTTTACTATACAATTTACTTTTATTAAAATTGGAAGCATATGGTCTGTAAAAAAATTCTCTAAAATTATTACAAATTTATTCAGAAACATTAAAAAACGTTTTAAAATCGGAACTTCTTACAGTGATAATCAGACGGGATCAGATGTTTAAAGGTGTACACAAGGGTCAATTCTTTTCCAGTTTTTTCCAATGTCTTAATAAATGACATGTTTCTTTTTGTATACAAAAGCACCATTTATAATTATACTGATGATAGCACTGTATCATATACTGAGTGGTTATAACTTAGATATAATGTTGTTAATATTTTATAAACTGAAAGTATAAATCTAATAAATTGTGTTTAAAACAAATAAACATAATTTGACATTAAACATAGATGGAAACAAAATGACTTGTGAAGAAAATGTTAAACCTATTGGAGTAACTATATATATATATATATATATATTTCCGTTGTTCGACCTGCTAGTCAAATGCGTTTTGTTAAAATATACTTTTTCACTTTTTTGGTCTTTTGGAAAATGTTGTTTGTGCTGTATTTAGACCACTCTACCAAGAAATTTGTTTTGCATGCACACGTATAAAAATTGCGGTTTTTATCCAACGCAATCATAGGTTTGAACGTTGTTTTCAATTTAGACTTGTATAGATTAGGACTTAAACTTTTAACTGTCCTATACCGGTAATTCTGAAATATGTAAAAAGGCATCAATGCAATTAAATATTCTAAAATGAATGATAAATTATTTAAACAGGCTAGGTAGATTAACAGCATACTATTACTATTCATTTAAACTATTTTCCAGTAATTTGGCAGTACTATTGCGAAACAATCTTTAAAGTGGAAAGATTATGATAGTTCCTGGGACTATTTTACTAATACATTATGTCCCAGGATATTTCATCCGAAAAACTGCTAGAAAAATCAAAATCGCCTTCTTTAAAAATGAGAAGAACGCCGAATTAAAACTATTGCAACAGAAACATTTAAATAGTTCATAAAGAAAAGTGCAAGTTATCTATATGATTTAATTTATATCAAAATTCATAACTATAAGTTATTGTTACATTGGAGACTAATTACCGCAATGCAGGGTTGGGTAAGGAACCGATTTATTACGAATGTAACAATAATATTTGTGGTTACGGTGGTACTCGATAAAAGTGGTAACCCGAACCCGAACCGGTAATCTATTTTACATATATTATGCTCTTCGTTTTTTTTTCTACAAACATTTATGCATTTGATGTATAATTAAATTTTATCTCATGTATGCAAAGGTTTTTGTCCAAACAATGATAAATGTAAGGTTTATTAATTTCCACCTCGGTATAAGAGGTAACCCGAACCTAAAAGTTTTTCTTAAACCAAACCTTAATCTGCATAAGTGTTTAAATTCGTTTTTCCTGAATGTAATAATCTTTCATATTTTAATTAAAATTGTTGTTACAACTTTTCCAAAAACTTGTAATCGTGGAAATTCCAAAAAAAAATGGTCGCCCGAACCCGAAAGGGAGACATGCAACTCCATTTTGTATTTGTATTTTGGGTCGATTATGACGCTACTGGTTAACTCGGTCTATACCAAATTCGGACCATAACTTCGGCATATCATTGATGATTGTGTTTTCTGAATTATGACTTTTGGTTTGATACGATATTTTCATTTTCGTTCGTTTTAATTTACCATTTTCTTTTTGGCCATTTTACGCCAATACTTAGTATAGCGGTTAGGACATCCCAGCTAATATAATCATAAGATAGCTTCGATGTGCTTGCTAAGACATGCCGTCAGTCGGATCTAACTTTATCCTAATCTCTGTCCTTAGGAATTCTTAGGACCGATCTTAGGACAGTTTCGATATTATGTTGATAAAATGTCAAAAGTTATGTCCATAATTCTGCAATATACCATCTTCATTATATTTGACATTTATCATTCAGAATCAATTGCACGACGGCAATTTACTTATATTTTCCGTTCCGCAATAACTTACCAGTAATGATTTGGACTGTCAAAAATAATAGAAAAAAAAACACGATACGGTGATGTGTTATGGAATTATGTTGGCTTTCTATGAAATTCTTTAAACTATTTTTATTATATTTTGATTTCCATTAATTCATAACCATAAACAATAAACAATTCGGCGGACAAAGGAATGAATATTTATTTATTTATTTATTTTTTATTATTTACTTTTTTTTTTTTTATTTATTTAATAATTATTATTGTTATTATTTATATTATTTATTTATTTATTTATTTATTTATATATTCGTTTGTTTGTTTATGAATTTAAAAGTTTAGTTGTTTTTCCTCTTTTTATTTATTATACTGTTTTTTTCCTGACAATAATCTTAAACATGTTAAAAGCATTGAAGTGGTTAAAATCTTTCCAGAGCCCGGGTTCATACCAAAGTCCATCCGGAATCCAGTATGGTTTTATTGCGTAATTCATTTACCTGTGTATCCTATATACTAGTTCAAAAACGTGTTGTCTCCCTTTCGGGTTCGGTTTCCCACTTATTCCTATAGAAATGAAATAAATGGTTGTGTTTTATACAGTTTGAAAAAAATATTTGTTTTTATGATATGAAAGATGATATTCATCACACGAAGTCAGAGTGTTCCTTCAAGAAATCAGATAAAACAGAGAAAATAAAGAAAAATAGGTTCCCGAGTTCGGGTTACCACTTTTACCAAGGCGGAAATATAGAAAACTTATTTTTCAATCTTAAGTCAGTTAAGAACAAAGGCGTATTCATACATAACATAAAACTTTATATTGTACACCATATCCATTAATGTTTGTAACAAAAATCTCTAAAGAATGATAACAAAACATATTTAAAGATTTCCGGTTAGGCGAATTTCCGGCAAATTCCGGTTCGGGTTCGGGTTACCACTTTTACCGACCACCGTCTACGGTTACTTTGTGTAATTTTACATTAATGCACTTCAATGTAAACAGTATGCTGTGACTAGTAATATGTATTAAAATAAAGCTTGAAAACTTTTATTTGAATTTTACAATATTACATGCAATTTTTTAAAAATTTTTATTTACAATGGCAGTTTTGGTAATAGGTATCACTTCATCCATTGTTCAAAGTATAATGACAGTAATAAGGGTACACTTTTTTTCTTTACATAGAACCATCCCCTTGAACTATATTTTTCGCCTTTGGCACTGCTTTCAAACTGTAGTAATATCTTGAAGATCATTAAAACAATTAATACTCAAAACTATTTAAACACTATTCCGGTTGAACATGTTGAATAATAATAATAAAAAAATAATAATATTATTATTATTATTATTATTATTATTATTATTATTATTATTATTATTATTATTATTATTATTATTATTATAAGTATACAGATTTTAAGATTAATATAACTAAGAAGTGTGTAAAGTTTTAAGCAATAATCATAAATTGTTTTTGAGATACAGCGCGACATGTGAAAAAAAAACACACACCTGTTTTAGTTACTAAGTCCCGTAACTCAAAAATTTTTAATCTTATTTTCACCAAAAAGTATACAGATCGTCTGATCATCATAAGAAACAACTATGTTAAGTTTAATGAAATTTGGATAAGTCGTTCTCAAGTTACGGTGCGACATGTTTACGCCGGACAGACAGACGGACAGACGACATTTGTATACCATAATACGTCCCGTCAAAATTTTGACGGGCGTATAAAAAGTTCAACACTCTGCCGATAAATTGATATATAACATGATAACTACGTAATTAATTCATTCATAATAATGACAATTATATATAAGATGGGTCTGGCAACTCAAATCCATGACATAGTAACATGGCGTATGATCAGTCACTTGAAAGAACTTTCTTTAACATTTCAATCAGCTTTTCACGCTTTCGAACTCTTGTATTTATTCCACCGTCCTTCAATTTCTGTTTTATTTCAATGTCGGTCATTTTGTGCAAGTCTGGAAAGTTCTGTTTATTGTGAATAGTGCTTGCCTTCTCCATTTCTTGTAGAATTTGCCTCCTTTTGCGAACCTGAATCTCTTGTTTTTCATTTTCCCAAAACTGATCGTCTGTTTTGCGGTACTTTCTTTTGGATCTTCCGGAATTAACAGTTAATTCAAGACGCTTCTGCACTTTCATGGCATCAACAGCACAATCGTGGTGATTTGTCTTCAAATGGTACACCGCTTTTATGTTGTCATTTTTCTCCGTAGGTTGGCCACTGAATTTTCTTAGAGAACCAAATTGTGAAATGAAGAAAGGTACATGATATAATAAACAATGCATGTAAGGGGTTAAATTCAAACTCAAATATCCTTTTCGCTCCGTTAAACCCAGTTCGAGAAATGCTTCGATAAATGATTTACATTCAGAAAAGATTTGCTCGGCTGTCCTCCTTTCGACTTCATCGGAACATACAAATGTATATACTTTCCAAAACATCTTCCACAGTTTTACAGTATCATCGTGTGTATCATTGTGTACAACGAACATTAATTTATCTGGCAATTTTTGCGTCACCCTTTTCATATCGTTGCCAGTTAATGATGTCCACTCTAAATCGCCTCGGCCTTGACTCGACCACAAACTAAAAGTTACACCACAGTCCCGTATACTTTTAACAAGGGAATCTAGGTAACCCCCCTTCTCTCCTCTCAGTTTCGCTTCATCATCTTTTTCAATTACGTCGTCGATTAAATTTCTCATTAGAACGTCAAATATTCTCATGAAAAGGTGAAGCTCGTCTGGAATTATATGAACAGGTTCTATTATCATCAAAGGCAGATGTTTCACTCCGTATAATTGGGTTTTAATGTGCCCTTGTAAATTTCTTTTATTTCAGATGTAGTTCTTACATTTTCGTTCAAATGGTAAAAGTTCCAGGGCTTAGACACGTCCCCTCTGTCCTGCTTATGTACTTTACACCAAGGACATGCGTATTGGCCGGTCGACGACCCAAGACCTAAGCAAATTTGAATAAATTTCATGTCGCCGCCAAAGAAAATTTCTAGCTTATATAATTTACTGTCAACCTGTATGTGTTTACATGAATACAGTTCATTTATCTCAGAAAAAACTGGGGAAAGGCATTCTTCAAGATTTTCATACTTTTCGGAAGTTCTAACGATGGCAAGTACTACAAGTTCTTCAGCAGACAATTTTTCCGCTGACAAAATTGCAAACGAAATGACAATAAAGTTTGATATGCGTGTAACTTTTGTACCATCTCCCGAAATTTTTATTTGTATTTTGTCTTGTTGATCAAATGCCCTGGTCTTGATGATATTGATCAGTTCGGACTTCAGACTAACATAAGCACCGGGAGTGTTACCGGGAGTGCGATGGATTGCAAACGTGTTATTTGTTTTTTCCCTAATGCTAACAATAGAGTGTAGCTTCGGTAGATCTCCTGTTTTCATAACTATTTCATGATAAGCGTTGTCACTTATTTTAAACTTGTCAAGAATAAATAAGATTTCGTTCATTCTTTCTATATCATCAGAAGGTACAGAATTGCCAAGTGGGACGCTTACTGGATCACCGTTGGAATTTAATAGTTTGACAGCCGTCGGGCGCAAACCGTAAGAATCTGCAAACCACAGTGCTTTTTCCATTTTACTTTTAAGTGTTCTGGTAATTCGGTACTTCTGAGTTCTTGACATAGCGTCAACGTTTTTACCTGTATGCACATAGGAGACTGGTTCCGCTGTTTGAACCCCTGAAAATAGTTAAAACATAAATGTATATGTAACAACAAAGTATATTTGACTCGTGTAAAACATAAAAATATTTTATATATGTTTGAAACATTTTCACTCTTTTGCCGCAGTGTACTATAGACGACGATTTTCTGCGCGACTAAATAGTACATTGAGTAAAAGGCAATATTATACTTAAATTTAATACAACAATAATCTTCATGATTCACTTTTAAATATGACATACACTTATCATTGAAATAGATTTTTTTTTGTAGATATATCCTTGTTTAATGTATATCGTCGTTTTTGCTTATTAATGTCTGTTATTTCATTTTGTAGAATAAAGTGGTAAAATAGGGACATAATTTAGTATAGTAAATCTCGAGCGCAGCAACTTTAAAATCCAGAAGCTTTGTGTACAAGTTGAAATTTACCTAAACAATCAAGCAATGCTTCTTTATCTTTGGTTACATCAGCTAGAGCAGTCATATTCTCAGACAATTCTTTTTCAACTTCTGCAAACTTTTTATTTGTTTCAATTAATTCTTTCAGCAGTAAGCGATATTTTTCTGTCAACTTTACATTGTCTTTTTCAAACTTGGATACATCTGCATATAGTTTTGATGCGATTTCAATTTCGGTATCGTAAACGGCTAGCTTTTTCAATTTCTCGTCCAGTTTTTCTTTTTGACGACCTCCAACTTGTCTTTTGTATATTGATGATACTTCACTACAGATTCGTCGCAGTCTTTCATCAAGTCGATCGCACGGTTTCAGATATACTGGTTTTAACTGGGAGTTTAATATACAAATGTAGCTAAGTTCTGGAAAATCACACTTTGCTTTGTGAAGTTCACGCACAAAGGAATACTTAATGTCAATTGTAAGAGAAATTTTATCTTCGGATTGGAAATCTCTTTTTAAAACGGAAATTGCGATCCTAGGCTTATAGTGCTTAGGAATTTAAATTTCTGGTATGGTGATAAGTGTTTTGACATGTTCACTTTTTTTATCAAGAAACTTTAAAGCTGCTAAAGTATATACAATAAATAGTTTACAAAACACAAATAAACACACGGTTGAACAATTGGCTTACAAAAAGTTACAAGTTGCAGAAGTTACACATAATGTTTCAATTGGCTTGGTTTCCAATACGACTTTGTCGTCAATTTTAACGTATATCTTTCTCATACGCAGTTTTGGTGTGAGCAAAATTGGGAATTTGATTTTCTGACCAGTTCCGTTTTGAGCAATCTTATAGTACCAACTGTTACTTAAAGGAAGTCTTGAAAAATCTTGTGTAGAGTTCAGTAATACAGCTTTGTCGCTATGAAAGCAATATCTAAAAATGTCAAGATCAAATTTGACCACGGATCTGTTATTTCTGTTGCCTCGTCTTAGTCGATCATGAATAGCGTCCTCGAGCGCGTTTGCTGCTGACAGTAAGCGCTGGTGTTCGATTTTCTTTGGAAAATATTCAGACAGAGAATCTTGATCGATGTGCGATTGTGGTTCCCAGGTTGTCTCAGTATATGGATAACCTTCCCATTTTACTAGATATAAATTGCCCTGAAAAGAACATATTAAAGTCCGTATAATAATTGTAAATGATTATAGTTCTTAATGTAGTTTATATAATCCCGGCGAGGGAAGAACAAAAAATTTGCGAAAGCAAATTTACAGATCTAACATTGTTGGGCTGATGTTTAGACGAGTTGTATATATATATATAAATATATATATGTGAGGGTCTGAATGGGGGTTTACAGAATAGAGATTAATTGACAAAAAGTGCAGAATAAAGGGGGAAAAATATAAAGAATAGAGAATAATGTAGTGCTGAAATATAAAGAACTGAGAATAAGGGTCAAAGTAAAGAATAGAGAAAAATAGTCTAAAATGCCAAGTTTAAGAATAAAGAAATGAAGGACCCCGAATCCAAACCCTCACACATATATATATATATACTTTTACTGCTATATAGAGCAGTAAAAGTACACTATTCATAGAATGTTCTTAGTGTCGATTAAGCGGTAGGGCCAATTTCCCCCCGCATTTATTTCAAACAAGCTAGACCAAAATTTCTTTCAAAAGTCTTACTAATCTAACTCAAATTCACAATAGGTTTGATTGAAGTCAATGGAGTTTTTTTTTACTGAATATATCCCTATTCGATAAGACAGCATCCCCCTTTTTATTTGAGAACAGTAAAATAATGATGATTGTGTTTGCTAAAGAACTCCGGCGAGATCATATATTAATCCGTTACATTGCTAATCGATTTCTGTTGAGATTGTGTCAGAGATAATTTACACTTGACTAGAAAAGTCACATTAAGATTAATCTTATATACAATTAGTTAGATTACTTGCTATTAGCCTTTCAAATATATATTAATATATACATTGACATCTCTGGTATAGTAAGTTTTTTTTTTTTTTTTTTTTTAAGTATTTCAAAATATTAACCTGCTTAAAAACAACAATGCAACAGTAGTCTGCATTTGCATGTCGGGTCGGTAAAGATATTACAATATTGAATGAAATAAAACTTTGGTAACATAACATCGCCAATTTAAAAATTGAAATAAAAAAATCCAAGTTTTATAACCACCAAGAGTTTTCATCCCGTATAAGAATTAATTTTCAAAATCGTCAGCATACTAAAGCGGCTGTTTCAAGTTTGAAATTTAGATAATATATACATAATTTTTTAATTTATTACCTCTTTGGGTGTAAATTTCTTCACAATAAGTCTCTCAACTTTGAAAGTTTCCTCTAAAACGACCCTGGATGCTGCTGGTTCTTTCTTCAAACGAGGCAATGAGTCTCCAAAGCACAACTTTTTCCAATCTTTGTGAATACGACTTCGCAAATTATGTCCACTCGTCATTGCGATGTTAGACTGAATTCTTATTGATTATGAATTGTATTTTAATTCGTTTTTTTCTATTAGATAACAGGAAATAACTTATGACAACTAAAATGTATACCATATGCCAGTATTTGATCAAGGACAGTCGTGTTTGTTGTCATCCGTGTCGTGTAAATCGTAAAAGTAGCTATGCAGGATGTAGGTAGCAGTGATCACAGTTGGATATTTCCTACTTTTAAGTTATTCAAATTTTATTAATATGACATTTTATGGTACAATGTTTGGTGAAATGGCATTCTCGCATCCCTTCAAACTAAACCATGCTTAGTATTTGTGTATAACTCTATATTATATTGTGTTCTTCTCACTGTAGAGTTTTTGTTATTTTCTTTTAATTAAAGACTTTTTAAAAAATTTTAAATTGTAAAAATAGATATTAACATCCTTGGAAAAAATAAACAGAGATTATAGTTTAAAAGCAGCTGATATTTCATATTCATATGCACCAATAACTATCGGTTTGCATCAGCCTTTTATGTCGTTTACTTGTTGTAAACAAATTTCAGTCAACTTGTCGAAAACTGTTGTTTTCAACTAAAAAATGACCGGACTAAATTAAAATTATTTTTTGTGAAAAAAATATATGTCAAATATTTGAAGTCTGAACTTGCATGTGATATCACGGCAGAAAAAATATTCCTTTAAGAAATTGCTTTAAAAAAATAATAAAATCCAGCAAAAATGAATCAAACAAAAATAACTAATGGGTTCTGTATACGTGTCAGGACTAATCTTTATTATACAAATGACCGGCTAAAAAATCAGATAATTTCGATTTGAAAAATATCAATTCAAAGATCCTGCTTTGAGTTTTCCAAATATATCACGGCAAAAAGTTAAACTTCAATGCAAATGGATAAAATCTCAATTCTTAAAATTTTGTTCTATATATTTCTTTATAACGATAATTACTAAATAACTGTGATAACTGGCGCATGCGCAGTAATGGATGAAACAAATTCTGTCATATGTACTATTATTATCAAGTACATATCGAAGAATTAAGCAACAGAACTGTAGAAGTTATTAAAGTTTAATAAATCTAACGTAACAATAACACAACGTAACCGTAAACACGAATATTATTGTTACATTCGTAATTAATAAAATCAGTTCCTTACCCAACCCTACATTCCGGCAATTAGCCTCCAATGTAACAATAACTTTATTTGCGTGAACCCCTAAGGGTTCATTTGCGTGAACCCCTAAGGGTTCACGCATATTAATTAGTTAGAAATATAGTCTATGGAGGAATATTCGGAACCCTAATTATTGTTCATTCGGAACATTTATATTTCTTATCTGTATTAGCTTCCTGCAATTAAGAGCACCTCCATACGGATCATTTAAGATATCTAAAACTTGGCAATAAAGAACTTTATACACAGATCGCTTAACCTCGCTTATCAATATGCCATATGGTAATAGAAGATATAGTTGATAATCTATACAGAAAAAAAATAGAAATAGATTTCCATACGTATAATTCTTAAAGAATACTAATGATTCAAAACATGGACACATGTACCTCAGTCTTTCAAAAATTCAATAAATTAATCTAGAAATAATTAATGAGGCATTGAGTAATGGTCAACTAGTAGGAGAAATTAATTAATGTTCCTTACAACTGATCATCAATAAGTGTAACTCTACCACGAGACGCATTGAGAGATTAAATGATCTAATTTAAAACCATTTTTGTAGAGGCATAACTTTTAAGTTAAAGATACAAAAGATTTCATTAATAAAACACACGAGGTAAAAAGGGAATGCATTCTTATTGCCTATGATGAAACGTAAATGTAAACAAATATGATCATTGATAATTTAAAAGAAACAGTTATCAATGCAGAAGAATTAATTGACACAAAAGAATATCCTTTAAAGATTCTCAACAAAAAAGATTAAACTGCATTTGTTTAATTAATTCTAAGAAACAATAAATTTGAGTTTAATGGAAATTAAGTTATACAAACAAGTTATAGGAGCGCCCCCTCCATAGGTGGTATATTTTCACCATCATGCACATATCTGCATCTGTCTGTCCTATTAATAAATGTCTGAGATAAGTCCAAATGGAAAGAAAACATCAAATTACACTGTCAATATAGAGATGACGGTTTTATGGTCTTCACATGCAAAATAGAGCAAGTAGAAGATTTCTTTAACATAGCGAACACAATTTCCCCTATACTTAAGTTCACATATGAGGTAGTAGTTGGGAGACTTTTGAAAAGGGACCCATGCTTAAAAAGTTAACTTTAAGCAAAAAATCCCAAAGCACTGTTAAATTTCTGAATTATAGGCAACAAACATAAGTTAGCAAAAAACAGTGTAAAGTTTTGAGATTTATTACGTATGTTGATTTAAGGAACCGCATTTCATAATAATCGAATTATCCTGCGACTGATATGATTATATAATATTTGGTAAACTATGCTTGCCAATGAGAGAACTTTTCAATAAACATGGCGTTGAATGTTGAGTCTTAGCAAAGCGAGCTAAATGACATCAAATTGACCAGTGTTGTACAAGATATAAATCAATGGCAATATCTTTATACAAAAAAAAACCCCGAAAAACAGACACGATAATAAGCAAACAAAAAACAGGCTCAGGATTTAGACAGGTATATTAAGTATACATGTATAAGCAGCAAAATGAATGTATTAGCTGGATCCAAACCCATTTCTAAGGTGGAACGGGATTTTACGGCACAAATTGAAATGGTAAGCAAGTAGATTTTGTCTTATTTGGTAGGAATAAAACTTTCACATTTTATGAAACAAAATATCGTACTTGCTCTGAAATATGTATTTTAAAAAGAAAAACATATAAAATTACTGAGGGATTCTAGTTGAAATATTACCTCTACCAATAAACATCCATTGGTAGTAGTTTGACCTTTCACACTGGTAAAAATGAAAGCTAATATCATCCAGAAATGAACTATTGAAATCAAAACATTCCTTATCTCCCTACTTTATATTTAACACCACCACTGAACCCCCGGCACTCTCAACATGCCATAATTGTCCTGATTTACAATAAAACACACATGGTAATGAAAATACTGAGATATAATTTAAAATTCAGTTGAAATAATATTAATAATATAATTAGCATAAAAAAAGTTCTAAGGTTCACGTATTGACTTTTTTTTTTAAAAAAGCAAACTTGTTATTATTGTTACATAGATTCAATGTAACCGTAGCCAGTGCCTAGTTTAACTTGAATCACAGGAAACAGAAGTACTCCAGAGAGTCAGAACGACCAGAAATGGTTTGAAATTGTTTCGCTATAATGCTGCACAAATCTGGAATGAGTTGCCTAGCCATTGTACGGTCGCATAAACTTTCAAAGAGGGGCGTAGGGTATCTGCACGGAAGAACGCGAAATAAAATTGCCATCTCACGATGAACGAACAATTAAAACTTTCTTGCACGTTGATCTTTTTACCGATTTCACGAAACACGGTGAATAACGAACCTTTTTCACAGCTGCACGTGAAATAAAAATGGCAAAACACGTTGCACGAAAATAACCCATTACCACCCTCTTCTAACTTTAAATGACCATCCAAAACAAAATAATAAGTCCCGTTTCTTTCCCCTTACCCTTAAGACTCAAGGTATGTCTTCATCATTGAAGAAAATTCGTATTGGTATCGTAGGATATGGTCATTTGGGTAAAACTATCACTAAAATATTTCACCTATGTAACCATGTGGCCACTTACGTTTGTTCATAATCATAATATGAGGCAGGTGTTACTTGAGAAGGGGAACGTAGTCAGCAAACCTTTGGAATACGTTACCAACGGTTACGGTATCCGTTTACAACATTGAGACTTGACTACAGGTCAGATATATAGCCTGTTAATCGTCTACCTGCATTTAAAAAAAACTTATATCCACGGGGGGACGGGGGGGGGGGGGGGGGGGGGGGGGGGTCTCTACATGGGATTTTGGGTACAGTTGTGCAGCTGGGATTTAAAAAACACCCCCATTCATATATTGAATACACCTTATCCCTATTTGTCCACCATTACTGGACATCACACAAGTTCCCGTAAAATGTTGACGTCATAATAGAAAATGTCTGACGCCACAATGGAAAAGTGATTGTTGTATGACGTCAAAAGTTCGGGCCGGACAGATTCTCGGGTCAAACGGGAATAGCGATAAGGTGTATAATTGTGAAATCCCTACCTATACATATATTTCACAGCGAAATCATAACCCATTCATATATTTATCAGCTCAAATAGTACCTATATGCATATACAATCTTATTATATATTAAAAACACAATGAGAATAAACGCAACAAAATTAGTGCAAATAGATCGATGTGTTACGCAATAAGTTCAAAAGGTTCGATATGTGACCTTTTTTTTACTATACTCCAGTGGGTAAAGATTATTAATTGTGACAGTGTAATAAAATTTGATCACAAACAAAACTTGTGTCAATAAGTTTCAGCAGATGTGGAAATTTTAATGACAAAGAGTTTGGGAAATTCAGTAAAGATTGTTGCACAACAAACTGAAAAATTATGGCCCATTGATATATCACAATTGGTCAATTACTACCTATTGATGTATTTCCTCGGTAAAATTGTACCCCATTGATATATTTGACGTATCAAAAAAGGGACCCATTCCAGCGGCACATATGTATAATATACCTTCATATAGGAAGAGACCCCCCGTGCTTATATCCCTGCTATCCAAAGGTATTGGGTCCGTTCGCGCCCAATACACGTTCATACCCTACACATTCGCACCCCACACGTTCGCACCCTACACGTTCGCACCCTACACGTTCGCACCCTTTTTTTTTTTTAGGTGTTTTGTAGATGTTTTTCTCTAATTCTTCGCCAATTTATCCCTTTCTGCACCCATTGTATAACAAAAATTTAATCAACGTGTGGTTTGTTTGATCTCAGCTCTTCATTGGTTAAAATCTGATTATGACGTCGAATTTTCTTGCTTTCCTCTGAATTTCCTATTGTGACGGCATGAAAAAAGGCGACCATGCCTGATGACGTCACATAGAAAGAACACATCTTTTTGCAGATCATTCGAAAAGATCATTGCCTGCGTATTGTTTGAAAATCATTAGAGAAACAGATTCCACCACCAAATCTCGTGTAATACGATATTTATCCACTCTCGACAGTTAAATTTTAAATATTTAAAACGCTCGGCGAGCCTCGCGTTTTAAATTTGAAAATTTAACTGTCTCGAGTGGATAAATATCGTATCACACTCGATGCAGTGGTAGAATCTATATATATCATGTATATCAAAATATTTTTATTTTCATAAATAAAAATTTGGGAATTTTTAAATGAAATATTGTTTTAAATTGATTTGATGATTAATTATTAAATGTTAATTATGTATGATTACTGCTAATTGGTATTTATACACAGCCTAATTTGGTGTTATTGTTGAGTGTTTAAAAATCATGATTGTTGTCATGGTTGTTTTAACTTGCTTCAAATGTAAATACTGCATGTATTTAGCTTGGTATGGGTAAAACTTTGAAGATTTTAAATAAAAAACATGAAAGATAATTGTTTTTAACAGCTTGGCTCCTTTGATCTCATGAGTGTCAGAATCTCACTTTATTCATAAACAATGAAAAAAAATATTTATAGCAATACACTATCCAAAACATGATTACGAATTATTCAACACATAAAAAAAAACGTCAGAATCCCAATTCCTTTTGAAACAATAAAAAAGAAATATTTATAGCAATACACTAACCAAAACATGATTAAGATTTTATCAACACCTAAAATAACGTTGTCAGAATCTCACTTTATTTAGAAACAATGAAAAAAAATAATTTATATATATATAGAGTGCCTAACAATGTAATTTTTGACATCTTCGCTCAACGAAACATCCTTTTGATAATGTTACTTTCCAAATCATAGAAGTCAACACTGAGTGGGACACCACGGCGAGAAGGAGAAGAGAAAACTTTTGGATTCACCAGCTCCACACTTCAGAACCAGATGGTCTTAACGAAAAAGACGAGAAGAGATACAGGAAAGATAAAGAATAATTTAATACACAGCATCGTCTTTTTTATCCTGTAATATTGGCCAATGGACGTTGCAAACTTCAACCACAAATTTTGTATATAATCTTGAACTTTATCCACATTATGTATTATTTACAAGGCAGCTAAATTCATGAGCAACATGTACATTGAGCTGCAAAAGTTTCTTATCATCTACATCCGATTTCACCTGGATAGATGCACGCTTGATAAAGCTAGTTTGTCTAGCGAAATATTGCGTTTATGTTTATTTTTATTGTTTTGTAAATATTTTAAACATTCTAATATTTACATACTAAATAGTGTGTTAAAATTACATTGTTAGGCAATCTATAATTTTATTTGTGTAATTGTATTAATCTCTGTACTGATTAATCCACACTCCCATAGGTTTGTATGTCATGTGTTGCTATTTATAGGCACTTATATATATATAGAGCAATACACTTACCTAAACACGATTAGAAATTATTCAACATATTCAACACAAAAATAAAATACTGGTCGTCAGACATGTCAGAATCTCACTTTATTTAAAAACAATGAAATTTTTTTTTTATATAGCAATACATTTACCATGACACAAAAAAAACCTTGTAAGAATCTCACTTTATTTAGAAACAATGAAAAAATATATATTTAAAGCAATACAATTACCAAAACTCGTTTACAAATTATTAAACACAAAACCAATAAAAATTGGGCGCGAACGTGTAGGGTGCGAACGGACTTTGGGTGCGAACGTGTAGGGTGCGAAAATGAAAAGGAGGCGAACGTGCATGGTGGCGAACGTGATTGGGCGCGAACGGACCTGGATTCCTATTCAAAACCCATTAACGGGCTATATATCTGACCTGTTGTCAAGTCCCTATTGTTTACAGCAGATTTATATATTCAAACATTTATCATTGTCAATTGATCTTAATTGTAAAAAAATTCCCAGCATAATTTCTGGTGAAAAAATAATTAAATTACGGAAACCTGTCCGATATTGGTCCTATTGTTAGGAATTGTTTATTTGACGTCATTTTCAGTGTAAACAAAGAAACGCTATCTTCAGGTAGCATTTTTATTCTCTTTTGCCTAAAGTTTTAAAGTAAACTGGTCATGCTGGTCCAGTACCAGTTATCGTCAGAAATTCGTAGTATTTCTCAAATATTGTTTTACAGTATCAGTCCTGTTGAAAATATTTTTTACCATAAAAAGGGTTACCAAAAGTTAGGTTAAACATGTTAAACACCACACACTCAACCTTTAAATCATCTTATAAATGACGTAAATCGATAAACTAGTGTGCCGATTTTGCTGTGAAATTTTATGGTTGCGAGGACCAGTTACAGTCATTTAAGAATCTACTCACTAAATAGATATTTCCACTTTTTATGTGTATTTATGTCATATAATGCTTTTCTGTAGTAAGATGAGAAGGTTATTTCCTTTATTAGCTAAGCACATAGTCATTATGTACGTATATATTCTAAATATTTTCTTCTTCGCAATGTCTATACTGGTCATAAATATGTCACTTGAGATCAACAAAATATATAGTGTATTAAACATGTTGAAGGAGAGCAAAAAATATGATTTTCAAATTAATAAATCTGTCTCTCTACTTATGAAAGAAATTTTGCTTCTTAAGCAAGCTTTTATATATTATGTATTTGAAAACAGTAATTTTTCTAAAATCGAGGACGCCATAAAGTAATAATGTCATGTCCCTGCATGCTTATCTTCCTACAGCGTGTTATGAAAACGAAAAACTGAGAACTTCAATATCTTAATCGGATAAAAAAAAACCTAAGTTTTAAATATGAAGCAAAGATATGTGTCTAAAGATAATAGCAGTATGCTGAATTCATGCAACACATCCTTTATTACAAAAGATGCCTAGTGACGGTAACTGGTAACTGAGGGTAACTCTGGTCCTCGACCAGTACTTTAATTAAAAACGTAATAATGTATACCTAAAATCAACGAATACACAAAATTGTCTTATTACTAATCTTTGTACAGATACAAAAATCTGCCTGAATGATCTGAGGTGAGTTTCCCCAGAGATATCATTTTGTTTTCTGATAAAGTTTAACGTTGCATAAGCATTAAAGTTATTTTATAACGTACACAAACAGAATAAATTCAAAATGTTTGTCATCATAGTATTATTCTCTTTGGTAATATAAATTTGCGCAGATCTGAGTCTGGAGCAATTTTCTGATTTGGGCGCCTCAATCAAATAGTGTGTTTAATTGAGAAATAATTATTTTATTCCATGAGCTGTGTTCATTTTAACATGGGTAGACATTATAGTTGTCAATATCTTTATACTGAGCATTAGCAATGTTGACAAATATAAGGGATCAACCATTTAACTTCAAGGGGGGGGGGGGTTATGGTTTTTTGTCTGAGTCAGAAATTAATTTTCGCGCATAGCGCAACCAATTTTATGTAGTTTTTCAACGCTATCTATCAAATTAATTTTTTTCAATATTTAACACTATAATGTATGGGGAAATTCTGGATTCAGAATATTTTTTTTTTGTCATCTGCTTGACCACAATATTTTTTTTCATCAAATTGGAGATCATAATATTTTTTTAGAAAAAACCATGA